GAATCCTGAAGAAAATTCAAAAATACACAAAAGTCATAATACATAAACGTCAAAAGAGCGGGGAATGAAAAGTGTTCAAGTCTCATGACTGAATGTTAAGAAATTAACCTGTTCTAGAACGGACGAACATATCAAAAACATAAATACTATCCATTATGAAATCCACAACTACCCATGCAATCCAATAATATCCGGATGCGAGTTCATGAAAGACGGATCGCGCTGAAAGAAAAATCAATTTTTTTGCTGGATGCTTGCTTTAATCGGTCTGTGGGAATATTCTAGTAACATTTCTAGTAGGGGGTACTCCCAATGAAAACCCATTTTTGGTTTCCTTTTTGATGCCAAGGACTTAGTTTTTCAAATTTTCATTTTTTACCTTCCTTTTCCTTTTTTTTCGCTTTTTTTCCATTCTTTCCTATTATAACTTTCTATTATATCTATTATATTTAAGGTAGTAGAAGCAAGTCGTATCTGTTCAGCGTATTCAGCAGAAATCTCTTTCCCCGATCAACTCAAGCAGCACTGATAGTGGTTAAGGCCTAGATCTAGGCTTAAGCACAGATGCCTAACCCTAAGCCATTATTTTCCTAATTTTTCCAGAAGCATATTCCTTCTCAATAACTCTGGAGTACAGTAATGTTCTTTTTTTAGTGCAAATACTTCATTCCTTTTATTCGCCCAATTTTTTGTCCTTTCTCAAAAACTTTCTCGCATTTTTTCCCCCGTCTAAAAATATTTTTATTCAGTTTTTTCCTCAACTTTTGTTTTTAAAAGTTTTTTAAAAATTTCCATCCCAAATTGTCGATTTTACCGCTTTCCATTTGCAGTAGCTCACAAGCCTGTTTTCTGCCCGGATGTGCCCTCGTGCAAACACGTATTTTTGGAAGCACTTACCAATGACAACAATTAGATTATAGGCAAATGCGCACGATAAAGTGCCCAGCCAGTAGTAATAAAACTCGTCTTTTGTATCCAATACCCATTTTTTGCGAAAATATTGCCATTTTGTCTCAGTCACAGGAATTGCCTCGTCCACTGCCTGAGCTTTCCTAGATAATGGTGTGATGGTGACTGGAGCTGGACTGGCAGCGGGAGCTGGCTGAACTTTCTGTTGGTTCTTTTCCTCCGGATCAGGTGGTGGTAACGCATTTGCTGCTGCTGCTGCTGGCTCGTGAACTGAGTTATCCTTCTTATCGATGCTGAACACCTTGTTATGCCGCATCAATTTGCTACTCTGAAAAATATCATCTAAATGGCCGAGAATCATTGAGGCACTGAACCAAACGAACCATATCCATCTCTTCCAAAGCACTGCGTTGAAGGCAATGATGTTAAACTCGACCCTTCTCGTTTCCAGTTGCAACGAGAAACAAAGGCATCCAGTTCATTTTTCTTTGTGCTGATCTGTTGCTCTGTACTGCTGTCTCAAAGACATTCAGAATTAGCTCGAACAGTAGCAACCTTCAGCAACGATCGCCCTGACGAGACATTGATGCCCCCCACTTTGAAGATTGCTTAGAAGGATGCTGTTAGCGGATCTGACTTTTGGTATATGCTAGTATCAATCTATCATCGAAACGAATGAAAAAATCGTAAAAGGACTAGTCGTCTTGTCGACGGAATCGAACCTTCTCTTTACTCTTATATTTTTCAAAACAAAACTGGTTTCTATTCAAGATTTTTCTCCTTCCAGCTTATTCATGTTGCGCTAAATGTTCTGTATGTAAAATGTCATTGCCACCAGATGAGAAAGTAAAACCCAACAAGCAAGGTATTTTGCTCGCCTTATCGACAACCGGCGAACGTTGTTCACTAGTTAAGCAATGCTCGCAAGAAAGTAAACGACTAATCGGGTGTCTTCCTAAGAGATGGCGCATGCATGTGTAGAATAGACTGTGAACACTTCAGGATCAATGGGCTTGGCATATCTAGGCCCGTTTGCATTCCAGTACTATCAGTAACGAGCAATTTTGGTACTCTTGGTCCTGCTGTATGCTTTTACCCCCAAGCTCTGATATGTGGAATATAGCGCAGCATCTTTTAGACTTAACAGAGAGAGGGATGCCCACGTAAGACTTCGTGACTTCTCGTGCTTCCACAACTTTGAATATTACAAATTAAGTAATATTTAGAGTTGTGCAAGCACGAGTTCGCCATTTTAACAAAGATAATGCTACTAGATCGCCATTTTAACAAAAATTCCAAAAAATTTGTCATTATTTCCGATTTACCTTGGATGTTCTTCTTGGGTTACAACTCGCTGAGTCATTTTGCTTCGGAGTTGCTGAATTTTCTGGCATACTAGATGCTTTTGCTAAACCGACTAAACCGTTGTTCCTACTTCCAGCCAGTGACAAGGTGCTGATTCCATCTGACAAATCCTGAAAGAGAACTGGCATATACGGTGATATGATTCCGTTCGCGCATGGTATCATCGAAAATATTCATTTCGATGGTAAACTGGTACTTTAGCATGCTTAGAGAGCCAATCTTGCTATCAGCTTTCTTTTAAACAACTTTCAAGAGAGCGAGCTGTCGACAGCCCTGTCGATGTTTGATTACTTTTGGCATGGACTTTTGCTCAGGATGGATTCTGTTTCTTTCTCTCCCCATAAGATACGGGGAGAGGTTTTAACTTTGACATTCTGTAATAATTATGAAATGTTAAGACCGAGATTCTGGATCAAAACACTGCTACAAATACCGAAGAACACATCATACAGCATTCTATGTTTCATCCTTTAGCTGTAAATACGAACAGAGCGTTAGGAGTGTGAATCATCAGTACCTGCAGCGTACAGGGTGTAAATGTATAAACCCAGGCTGGAACGCACCAGGCGAGCCGGTGCGATCATGCGTTTTTGCACAATACTTGAATTAGGTCGACTGCTGTCCCTTCACACCTACCTTATGTGCCTAATGTCGAAAATCATCGTAAATTTTGCGTAAAAAGAAATAAACTATTTCCGTTTGGCGGTATTTTTTAAAAATAACTCAACTGTTCAATGAATAATTTTCCCGTCGGAAATTTGATTGCCCGTACACGAGAATCACGCATAAATGAAGGCTGAATTTGAAGATTTAATTCTTACTTGAACGGGGAATATTCTCCAAAGTCTGAGCCTCCCAACTTTTCTGGTTCTCGAGTTAGCAATTTTCGCGCCAAAACTTTCACAGGGCCGCAAGTGACCTAGGAGCATACTTGGGGGCTGAGTTTGGAATTTTTAATTTGTATGCAGGCTGAGAATATCCCTTTAAAATTTTAGCCTCCCGGCTTTCCTGGTTCCTGAGTTAGCCATTTCCCCGCCAAAAAATTTCACGGTACCATACTTGAGAACCATGGATGACTGGGGGCTGAATTAGATAAATTTAGGTCGTATATGGGTTGGGAACATTCCCTGAAAATTTCAGCCTTCCAGCTTTTCTGG